AGCTGTGTCTGCCCCAACTGTGGGACCTGGGGAAAGGCATCTCTGGTTCCAAGGCTGGTGTGTGGAGGTGGATGGTTCCTCCCCAGGTGGGTCAGCACCCGCTGGGTGCAGCTGGTAGGGCTTGCTGGTGGCTTTCTAGTGCAGAAGGGCCACCAAGGCAGCAGTCCCTGAAGCCCTCCTGGCGACTGTGTATTGCAGTACCTGAAATCCCAGCAGCCGAGAAGCTGGGAGGGAGCGCACCGCAGGGGTGCAAGGGGCTGAACACATTGCCAGCCCCACGAGCAGGTTCTTGGCTCCAGGAAGAGGCAGATTCGGGCAGAAAGGTTGCACGCACGCTTCGCAGCCTTTCTAGGACCAGGCGCATGGTTGGACTCGAGCCTGTAGCACCCACGCAGCAGGGGAGGGACGTGGGTGCTCTCTGCTCTGAAAAACTCATCTGGTTCCACTAAACCGCAGTCCGTATCGCCATCCCCTCCCGGTCTGCTCTCACTGGTGATGGTCCTGTGCCCCACAGGCGGTACTGGGACCCATCTCCACTTGTCCTGGCTGTAGGTGGACGGGGGGAGCGGGGCTGAGTACTGCGCCGCAGCTCCCTCCTCGAAACCCGGCACGGCAGCTCAGCCGCTTCGCTTTGGCTCCAGGCTACGGCTTGGTGACTCGCATCCCAGAAGTATTTTTAGGCAGAAATCCACCAAGCGGGAGAGCTCTGGAGAGGATTTGGCCCCACTAGCCCTGACTAAGCAGGTTTGCTTGGGCTCAGTGCCCGTGGGTGGATGTGCACGTGGCCGGGGGGGGCTGGCGGGGGCTCCAGGACTGGGGCTGGTGGCCCCGGGACCAGCTGTATCCACCTCTGAGGCTGCCAGGCCAAATGCTGTCTCTGGTCCCTGTGGTGCTGGGACGGGTCATCCCGGCTGGCAGAGCTGGGGGAAATGCCGGTGCTGATGGTTTTTTGGGAGCCAGGGAAAGGCTTGGCTGCCCCAGGGCTTTCCTGAGCCTCTTCTCCCTGCAAACCTTGCCGCCCCAACGGGCTGTGACAATTTACGGATGAAAAACAGTGCCATGGTCCTTAAACACATCACGAGCTGGGGATTCATAGGTGGTGAGGTGGCCTCTGATAATGGATTGAATAACCTGGCTGTCACCTCCGGGAGAAAAACTACAGCCCTTTTCTGTGTGAAATACCTAAGTTGGTTTTTGCTTGGTGCTTAATCGTGATGGAGCTGAAGAGTCCTGAGCTGAAGCTTGTGGCTGCACGAGCTCAGTCCAACCCTCATTTCTGGCCTTAATACTTGAGTAGCCAAATGAAAACCTGGATTTGAACCCAAAATGCTAGAGGCAAGATGTGTGCAAGGGATTTGGGAGTCACCAAAGCTCACCTTGGGGAGCAGGAGCCCCTCTCACTTGGGTTTCCCGGGCTGTCCCCTCACCTGGACCTGCGGGAGGGGGGTTAGAGGCGCCCCCCACCTCCATCTGCCTCTGCCCCGCAGGGATGGACCTCTCGGCCAACCAAGACGAGGAGGGTGACCAGGAGACCTACCAGCTGGAGATCAACAAGGACACCAAGAAATGCGCGTTCAGGACCTACACTGGGAAGTACTGGACCCTCACCTCCAACGGGGGCATCCAGTCTACCGCCTCCACAAAGTAAGTCCCCTGTCACTGGCAGCTCGGGGCCGTACCTGGGCTTTGGGGACCCCTCTGCATCTCCCAGGGGACTCCAAGGGGGATTTTTCCAGCCTAGGCGCTCACCCCAAAACGCTTCCCAGCAAAGGCAGCAAATTCCCCAGAGAGCTGGGGCTGGGTCGGGGCTTGCCGCCCACGATGCTCAGGAAGTCCCTCGGGCCACGTAATCCTTCCCGGCCGGCTGGTGCTGTCGAAATGCTTTACCCTGCAGTTCAACCCTGCGCTAGCTGAGAGCCGGGCGGAAACTCCAAAAGTGCGTTTGGCTGGCTGCCTGCCTCCTGCCTGCGGGGTGAGGGCTTCCCACCGGGATGGCTGCCACGGCGTGGCTAATCCTGCAAAACCAGATCGAATCGGCCCCCTCCGCCCCCCGATCCCGCCG